GCTCCTGGCCTTACTACTAGGAGCAAGGACGCTACTAGGGGCTCCTGACCTTACTACTAGGAGCAAGGACGCTACTAGTAACAAGAAATTTTTTCCACCTTTCGCTTCGCTTCGCTGCGCTACTGGTCCGGTCCGCTCGCTCGACCAGGCGCGAAATGAGCTCATCGCTCTGAACCAGCGCCAGCGCTCCGAATCCTCCGCCGGCAACACGGAGGCGGGGGACGACGCCAAAGTATCGGATGAGGAACTGAGGAGGGGCAAATCGGGTGGAGGCAGAAATCAATAGAAGAGAACTAAGGAAACTTCTGAAACTTCCATTTGGGGGCCTCCATCCGGGTCCAAAGGAGTTCCCAAACGAAGACCTCGCCTCAAACCCGCCCACGCCGGCTTCCGGTGTTGAGGCCAAAGCCAAGAAGAAAGAGACCGCCGCCTGCAAGGTGGGATGATCGGTCGTCCGGATGGATCGTCCCGCCACGGGCCAGATCCACTCGGGGAATCCACGCATCTCCACGCATCTCCGTCGTCCGCGCAGGGGAGGCCAAGGTGTGGACTTTCCTTTCGCAACTATGTGGCGAACACCTGGGGCTTAGGTCTCTGTCCGGTCAGGTTCACTTCGGTTCGCACTTCAGATGGAATGAAATGAAACACTTGCAAGATAGTTCTGTGTTTGTAGAACTACACATGCTTGCGCGTCAAGAGTTCAGAAGACAAATCAGAGAAGAACAGTGGGCAGCTGACACAGGTACTGGCAGGGACATTGTGTGAGTGGTCGCTCTTTGGACAATTTTAAACATTTTAAAACAATTTAAAACATAACATTAAAGAAAGAATTGATGTGCCTGATCTAGGAAACTTGCAGGCCTTGCCTCTTAATGGGAATTTTGTCCATGTGCTGTAGTGCCGGAGGTTGCTCCGTCAGTAACTGAAAAAATAAGGGAAGGCGGCACTTGGAATGGAGGCCCCTCTGTTTCTATGCTCGGTCATCAAGAAGTTGAGTGCCTATGGCCAGCACGCAGACCAGACTCACTTTGGTCAAAGGGGAATGGATAAACCTTAAAAGTTCGTCCTTTTGGCACATGAACCCAACTCGCACACATAGTTACAATATACCAGTACTTCTAACTATAAATTGTCCACAGGATAAACACGCCTTCTCATCAAGCGGGATTCCACCCTTGCTGATTCTGTCGATGGATACTAAGGGGAATAATTCCTGGGATACACCAAATCCTGCGAGTAGGCATATTGGGGATCTCCTCCTCTACCCATGGTACATTATTTTGTCCTTCAAGTGTTTCATTATCGTTAAACATTATGGCGATATATATATATATATATGTTGTTTGTTCTGTTGCAGGCATTTCGCATGCTTTTGCGTGCGTTACTGTCTATAGGTTGGAGAAACCGGTGATTTCCATGAGCCGATATGGCGGATCTTCTGCCGACCCGCCTGTGCCAGCACATCGACCAGCTCCTGTGGAAAGCGGAAGTGGACCTGGAGAATGTTGAAGACATGTATTTGCGGCTTGGGGCCCCTGGGAAAAACCGGGGATCTGGAAGACGTTCTTTCAAATATGCATGCTGCCCTGCACGATCTCTTCATCACAAGAAAAGTGACGTACCCCACTGGCTGCGTTCTATTCCGGACACCTTCGGGAGAAGATGGGAAGGAATCAGCGACGAAGAGAACAGCCGTGTTTCCCTTGCTGTTCTTTAACACGGCTGTTCATTGTTCCATTGTTCATCCTTCGCCCCAAGACTTGGGCACGGACTTGCCATATCCGCTCTGATTCGCTCTCCAGCGCCCAAGGCACATTGACAACCAGAAGGAGACCTACTCCTTAGGTGCCAACTCCGTTGACTTGCTAGCTTCGTAGAAGTAAACCTGGGAGGAATTGGGGATCTGAATAGAATGTATTTGATACCCAAGGGCATTTTGGTGGGTCATTGGTCCACGCCTAGTTTACTCGTCCAATTTCCAGAAAACGATCCTGGCTCTGTGCAGATCGGCTTGGGGGTCATCTGCATGTAACACTTTTGACTGAAGCTTTTCTGCCACGGATGTTTTTGTTTTTTCTACGGCACGAAAGCCAACCTTGTCGGCCCTCTTCTGGATGTGCAAACTGTCACCGATAACATGTCATGTCTGGATGTGCTGCTCAGCCAGCTTCAAAATAGGCTCTGTTGCTTCTTAGCGAGAGCTCCGTGACCGTGGATGCATTTCCACTGCAAATTGGGGAATTTTCTAGTGTACAAGTGGCAAATCAGGGTACATGAAAATATGGATGAATGGTTGTTCCCTTGACCCGTTGATTTCCTTCGAACCAGCGCAATTTTCACCAGCTGAAGTCTCAGCTCAAGCATCACTCTCGCGCCAGCCGACTTCAACCAGAGAGTGTCCAGAACTTTCTCCGAGATCGAGGACCTCTTCCGGCGACCGTGCCACGTGTGTTCCGGATACAGTGCTTTTGTGCCCCTCACATCCATCGGTTCCGTATTGCTTCCGACTCTGTCAGCTGTGGGGTCCACATTCCAAGAACTGGAACGGAGCTCTGAAGAGCTGGAGCTGATGTCCATGATGACATAAGATAGAAATAAGCTGGAGCTTATGTCTTTTGAATTTCCAAAGATTTCAAACTGTTGGTACAGTTGGGTGTCAGAGAAACGACCAGAAGCACCTTCTCGATAGAGCGCGTGTGCGACTTGCCGCAGGAGAGCATAAACAATCAGTTCGACTCCATCAAGTCTTTCTTTTTGAGGTTCCTGTCCCGAGTGTGATTTCTTTTCATAATCCCGCATTCCAAGAGCTTACTTTGAGATAGATGATGACAACTGGGGGTCAAGAGCTCAAGTACCCCATCAAATCAGCTTGAAGCTTATTTTGCAGAAGACACTTTCTCGAACTCAGAAGCAGGCTTGTTTTTTCAGAAGCCTTACACAGATATGGGAGATCACAGTGTATGCACCTCGCAGCAAAACAGAGTCTGTAGCAAAACCAGAGTCCCCCGGAGCGGAGCGAAGTGCTGAACTGAGTGTTTCGATGGAGGGTGGTTTGCTTTGACCCACATGCTTGATTTCCCCTATATAGATTGAACATGCCGTTTCCCCAAGATTCCTTGCCTTTCATGTTGATCATATTGGCGAATGGGAGGGCTGGAGACAGGCGAATCTTTTGCTTTTCGTAAGTAAGGCAGCATTCGGCTTGCGCAGCTTTTCCTAATCTGAAAACAGATGGGCTCTTCAGCTGGTGAATGATGCATCTGCCTTGGAGGTAAGTGTTAAAGAGGTGCGACTTGCTCAGCCTGGTGCTCAGCTGGCTGAGAGCTCGAGATTTGGAGAGTCACTTCGATCACATTTCGTTCCAAAGGGTCGAATAGATCAGTTCGTAGCAGGATGTGAGATGAGGTGCTCTTTCATTTTTTTCGTACCGTGTAGGGTATTATCATACGTAGTAAGATAATGATAGACAATGAAGCGAAAGAAATTGCGGAGCTTCCTCACCTCAATCCTGAGAAGATCAGTTGTATAGTGCACGAAGCCCCGAGCACAAGCGTCCTTATCGTCCAAAGCTGTTCTTAACATGAATGAAGCCGCCATCAGTGATAACAATCATGCCCGTGATTGGCAGCCTTCCCCTTCTCCCCATTTCAAGAGAGGTGCTCAATAGAAAGTGAGCGTGTTGTGGCTGAGTGAAAAAAGGATGGCAGGCGCGAATGCTGCATGTTCTACATCAACCACCCTTCTTACGCTCTTTGCACCAGTGCCAAACGTGTCCTTCCGCCGTGGAAATCTGTAGAACCTCGTACATCTTTCCACCATTTTTGCTGCAAAACCGTCCCATCGCGTCGCTGGCACCGATGCCGTTTGGCTTGACTTCTTGGTGGATCAAAGCTGAATTTGAAGGCCTTTGGGGTGATGGGATCCGATGGGAACTGCGTGGACGGAGATAGGGTTTGTTGGACCATGCTTTGACTCAGTATCTTACAGTACGCCTGCCGGCGGTAATGCAAGATGTGATTTGGTCCTTTCCTACTTGAAAGGCCACTGGCCTGGGTTGAAATGTATGACTGTACATGAGCGAAAGCAGATTTCACAACGAACGGACAATTACTTTGGTCACGACGAGAGTTTCTGTAGCCAGGGTCAAACCTCTATGATGGGTGGTACTTTTCATTTCGTGGGCACATGGGATAATCAAGCTTGAAACTGCTCGATGCTGCTGGGTGCCCCATCTTTATCTTCCCTGTGTCAGTGTCATGAGAAGCTCCAAGGCACTCACTGGGTCCAATCTACGTCGCCTCAAAAAACAAAGGAAGCTTCCATGCGCATGGGTTTCTCCATTTTTTCGGTGCCCTTTCTCATCCTTGGGCGCTGAAAACGATGGCAGAACTCCCAATCCATGAATCAGGCGCTTGACAAAAATCACCTGAGTTGTTCCACTCAGACCCCAAAGTCCTCGATGTTTGTGATCAACTGGGATTAGATTAGAGCTTCGGTGAGATCCGGTGCTTGGCCTGAAGGCTTTGCTGATTGGACAGTTGATTGGGCTGCTGAACTCGTGACTTCTAAATGTGGGGTTTTGGGGTTTCTGAAATACCAGGAGCAAAAAAGAGGATGCGAGTTCTTAAACCTTTTGTTGCGTTCACCATCAACTCCTATGTTCAACCCCCGAAAGACTCGCACCGCCTCCCCGTTCGGCCCAGGGCGCCGTTCGCAGGCGAGTCGGGTGCGGACTGGGACGGTTTCAGACGTCGGTGCGTCCACCGGTGGTTTCTCTTCGGACCGGCCCATCCGTGACCTCTGCGGTGAGAACTCGGTGGTCCGTCCGCTGCGCCCGAAGGGCGTACCGGCTTGGTTCGTCAACCGAGAAGGGAGAAGCACTTTAGTCAGCAAGAGGTCGAAAAAGATGGTCAACCACTCCATTCCAAGCGTACACCCAAAGAGAGTTCAAGAAGTTTAGCAAGTAGATGTTTTTTCCATAATGTCCTTCTATATGTTCTGGCACACTGCAATCAGCTTGGAACCTAGTCACCTAGTTCTATTCGAGCCACGCCTATCCCTTCCTTCGCCCTGTTCGGCGCACCAAAGGCCGCAGAGGCTGCACCAAATTCGCCATGCGCCTTGGCACCGACTGTGGAAAGCGTGGGACGAATCGTGTCATGGAAGATCGCGACCGATCTCCCCGGCGAACATCGTGTCATCAACATCATCCGTTAAGAAGAGTGGTCGTGGTTTGTTTGTTTTTCCTTTTCTTTGGGTATGAGGGTGGGGCGCTTACACAGACCACAGACGCATGTTGCCAGAGGCGGCAAATGGCGGCAAAGGCAAAAGCGTTAGAATGGATCTATGTGCACCATTTCCGTGGGCAAGGACGCTACTAGGAGCAAAGGGCATCGCTACTAGGAACAAGAAGCTACTAGGGGCTCCTGGGATCGCTACTAGGAGCTTTCTTACTACTAGGAGCAAGGACGCTACTAGGGGAGTAGCACCATGTACATGTACATCCGCGGCGACTCGTTCGGCGAGCGGGCGAGTGCGGGGGCTTCTTGCGGCTCGCCAGGCCCATCTCAGTGAGTTTCAAGGTCTCAGGCTCTGGAGGGACTTCGCCCGGGCTTCAGATGGCAGAAGAGTTGTGGCAAAACTGACTGGTGCGACTCGTAGGGAATGAGAGTGGCTGGATTTAAAGGAATCTCTATTGGGGGCTCAGCCACCCTCATTCCCTCCGAGTCGCACCAGTCCAAAAAGAGTGGAGAAGTTGCAGACGTCTCAAGTCGTGTTCAGAGCCTGAAATCCGGAGTCTTTCGGAGAGTACCCTGTGGCAGGTGAGGTGCGCATGGTTAGGTGCGCAGGAGTTCGCAAGGTGGATGTTGTTATATTATATAATGTTATATATGTATATATTATAACCTTTCTGTGCCCCTGGGGATGTATGTGACAAACGCACGAGCTTTTGAGCAACTTTTCTAAGCAATCAAGATGGGCAGTTGCTTGTTGCCCCAAGGCTCCAAGTGTCAAGACTCCTCTTTTTTCTTTTTGGAGTCTTGGAGCCATGGGAGATCCTCGAGAGTTTCAGGTTCAAACGAGATCCCTGAACTCCAATGTATCATCATGTCATTTTCATCTTCTATCATCTTCTCCAATAGGGGTGCCATGGCTATGGTGTTCTTAGAATATCGATCTCATTAACTCCTGATGAGAATTAGTTCAGTAAAGTTTAAACCGACTTCATCAAGTCTGGACTTTGAGGTTCAATCTGGACTTGGAGCCTTCGATGACCGTGAAGGAAGTCAAAGAGAAAGCGCACGAACCGCAGGGGCTCTCAAAGTGATCCACGCTGAACTTTTCGTCCTCCAAAGGTAGAAGTCTGGAGGCGATGCACAACCCTGGGAATTGCAATGAATGAGTCGACGGAATCATTGGCTTGTCTTCCTCTTCTCTGAACGGTTCAGTGTTGATCTGCTCGGACTGGACCGAACGAACGGATCCATTCACGTGAATGTTCTCTTGCCAGAGACAAGAAAGAAATCCTTTTTGGTGCCGAAGGGCACACCGCACGTGACATCCAAACCGCGGCAATTTCGCTGACGAAGATTAAAGCCACGGACTCCCAACAGATGCCACTCAAGAATTCCTCCTCGGTGCAAGTACACAGAGTCCTCCTGGGTGAATCTGTACTGGATACACAATGATACATGCAGCATGGTCCCGTTGGAATGTCCTCATCAGGTCCATGAATTTGAGGACAAGAAGCCTTGACTTATTGCGAACAACGCCTTCAAACCACGTCTCAGGTCTGGTATAGAGCCTGACCAGATGAAGCTCATCTTCAAGGGGCCCGCCACCTGAACAAAATGCGTGATCCAGTGAGCGACCTGACTCTTTCCGCGACTGCGAGTGAGACTCGAGACCATGATCTGATGTTATTGATGTGCGAATCCAGACCTTCGAACTCCTTCGGGTTCGGCCTCTTGATCAATACGGTATACTATAATGCTAGTCCCTTCAGGTACCGTACCGTGCGCGCGAGTCGAATTCGTCGGCGGTGAGGCGGATCCTAAAGGATGCTGATACTTTGGAGTCACACAAGGCAGGAGTTGCATGTGCAATGATGTGCCCAAGTCAATGTGGATCTTTCTGATAGGGGTTTTCGCTGGTCCAATGGTTAGGTGGGCAGATTGTTTTTCTTTCTCCGTATAATACGGCAGTCTCCCCCTTTTTAGGACGGACGTCAAGAACAGACCGCTACCAGACGGCAACATTGCAGGTGCTGGTGCCAGTATCCCATCGTTTTTCAGCACATCGGTGCAAGTCTTGCCTTTGAAGACTGCAGTGAATGACTTGGCAGGTGGAGGGTGGCAATACCATGCATGTGGTCAAGTCAGCGCCTAGCCCGACCCCTGCAACCACGTGGGGGGCTCGAGAAGCTGAGCAGCTGAATTGGAGAGGTTCGGCTTGTTGGTGATATGGTTTGAGGTTGAGACGTAATAGACATGTGGAAGCCAAGGGAGCTCGTTGAATCTTTTGGGGAACTCACAAGCAACTAACTACTACTTCTGGCCCTCCCATTCGCAGGGTTCCCTTGGCAACTGTTTGAGGGCGTCATGCTCATATCTTCAGGTGTTCAAACGTTGGCCTTGTTTTCCGCCAACTAATGCAGCCCTCTGCAACAGAACTCTGCCCTCACATGATGACATCACTTGGGGTGAACATACCTAGTAACAAGGGCATCGCTACTATAGTAACAAGGGCATTACTACTAGTAGCAAGAAGCTACTAAGTGCACCGCTACTAGTTACTAGTAGCTAGGACCAGGACTGGTCACCTTCCCACCCAGGCCGGCTGCCACCCCAGCCGCCGACACGGCCGGAGCCGCCACGGGGGCGCCCGCGCCCGAAGCTGGGCTGCACCGGTTCCGCGGTGATGATGTGCTATGTTTGTTCCCAAATTGGTAGAAGACCTTTCGGGAGACAGGCGGAGACAGGTGGCACACACAGAGACGCACATCACACAATGTTCAATTGGATGGGAATCAACTTGGATTGCATTCGAAGGGCGTTTGTTAGAGACGATGGAATAGAATCTCATGTCTCATGTGGACCAATCTCCGCGACGAAGCAAATCAAGATGGGTTGCCATTGCTGGGTAGTGGATGGCCTTCTAGGGCCTTCTAGGGTTTTAGATTGTTCCCAGTCACACTCATCCATAGCTTTGGATTTCACAAAGCTCTATGAAACGTTACTGAAAACTTGAGCATTAGGTATTGCAGAATTAGGATGGATTTGGTCTATTTGCCCTTCTAATGGCCATGAACTGGCTCAGCCTTCTTTGGGTCCTCGGAAACACTTTGAACCGGTTTCTTTGTAGGGAGGTGACCACTGGTGATCACTGGTTACCACAGGTACCAAATTGGACAGCGGAGCCACCATGTCTCCTTTTTC